TTTTTAAAAAATGATATTCTTATAAAAATTTTGAAAAAATGATATTTTAAAAAAATATCACTTGAAAAGTGGCATCTGTCAAAATTTCTGTGTTTTGTTTATATAACGGCTCTATTGACTCTCCCAGGGTTTTGCCTTACCAAATTATTGGTTTGGTAGATCGATCCATTGATTTTTGTAGTTACTCATACTCTGCTAAAATTGGCAAATCCGTTAGCTATTGACTATCTTAATTTAGTTAGTATGTTAACTATTGACTATCCTAATTTGGCAGGTCCATTAAATCTGTTAAAAATAATATATTAATGCATAGTTGGTTTCGTTTACTACTGGTTTAATCTATTGTATAGTTCGGTTATCATGTTGGTTTAGAATCTTGTATATAAACCTTATCTCATCACTTGTAAACCAATTTAAAGAGTTATCGAGAAATAGAAAATCAGTTGGATATTTTTTCTTCTTCTTAATCACAAATTCTCTCAATTTCTTCGAGATTCGCATTCGGTAAAATAATATGCGGTAGATCGATGATCAATATTTAGGTTGAAGTGGTACAAATGACTATGAATTTTTAAATTTTGAAAATACTTTCAATAATTTGCGCGGTTTTTTGTTTGAAATCTCATGTTAATTTTTCATTAAAACTATTTTTGATATTGTTATTCTTTTAATAGTCGGTTTCTTATGTGGTTAAATATACAATTGTTTGCTTGACATGCATATATGGTTTTATGTAACGAACTTAAGCTGCTTCTTTTTTCTAACAAACTTTAGTTTGTGTAGTCCGTAAGAATGATCAGGGCAACGAAAGAACACATTCAGAGTCGTGTCTCCTCGACAGTCGATGTCAATTTGGAAAGAAAAAGGGAAAATAAAGTATTTTGATAACTCACTTCCAATTATCTTAAGCCACATGTATAGTCACCTTGTGTTGATCCAACACGTGTCTACCTTCTGGACACGTCTTTAAAACTCAAAACTCAAGAAAGTAATAAAATATCAAGCCGACCTCAATGGAAATAAATATCTAGTATACTATTTTCCATAGAAGCACATCGACCCTACGTGGAAACGAGAAAGAAATAAAAACATTTTTTTACTAATAAAACTCAAAATGATCCGTCTCTATAAAGATCCCTCTCTCTCGTTATTATTACTCATTCAACAAATCACAACAATCTCTACTCTTTCC